TGAGGGCCTGTTGGAACCACTCCCCTACCAGACCAAGTAAGGCTGATGATCTGTGTCTGACGACTCGACTGTCCCGGGGGATACGAACCCTCCCACGGACCGGTACAGACCGGCGGGCTGCTCGGTGTGGCACAGTAGGCCGGAAAGGCTGAGTTGTGGGCTGAAAGCACAGGCAGAACCAAGCTGATCACGTCGTCCTGTCTGCGACGTTAAAGAATTATTGAGGAGTTACGGGGGATCTCCTTAAATGCCTCCTGAACAGCCACTGGTTCAGTAATGACACCCATAATGTAGGTCTAGGCTAGAGACCATAGTTGACAGGATCCCTGTCAGGATTCTGTGAGTCTTAGATTGAGTCAATAGGTCTGTCAGTCAGGGGTTGACGTCTACGTGGTGAGGTTTGGAACCACTAACCCGGTTGTACACTTATAACCATGGTTGAGACCCGTAGTGGGAAGGAGACTAGCCCCTACACCACTGAGCAGCAAGAAAAGATGGCCGCCTTAGTCAGAGAGAGTAAGGAGAGGAAAGAGCGTGAAAAGCAAGTCAAGCTAAAGGCTATCGCAGACGAGCAGGCGGCAAAGATGAAGAGATTGGGGGAGGAGATAAAGAAAGTACAACAAGAGAAGGAAGAAAGAAGAAAAGTTGCTGAAGCAGAAGCGGCAGCAGAAGAAGAGAAAGAGAGGATGAGGATTGAGAGTGGAGAAGGGAGTAGTAGTGGCACGATTACGAGGGAGACAGATACAGGGCTGGAGAAGAAGATCAGCGAGTGGGTCGCTAATTTATCGTTGGGAGAAGACGAGGAGGCAGAGTCCTATGTAACTAAGGATGAGAAGGTTGCGCTGGCCGATGGAACGAAGAGAGAGGGAGGAGGAACAAAAGTTAGCATGGAAGCTGAGGATGAAGAGAGAGAAGAAGAAGAGGAGAGAGGAAGTGAACAAGATGACCGCAGAAGTGGCAAAGGTGCAGGAGTGTAGAGCGGAGGTGCTGGCCCAACCAGACGATAAGGCCAAGTGGGACAAAGTACTAGGGTATCTGGAGGTGTTGAGTAAGGCCTGGATGGAAGAGCGTCAGGCAAGCTGGAGCCAGGATGTAGCGTTGAGTGCCATGCGGTCAGGGTTTAAAGATTTCGCGCGCGAGTTCGTCACCCATATTGGGGGCGAAGTGAAGCAATTGAGAGATAATGTAGGGAAGTTTTGTGAGGGCGCCATTCAGGGTGCCAAAGCHGTAGCCGCTGTAGAGGGAGAAGCCAGACCCCGTAAGAATCCAGTGAAACTCAAGTTCCCAGATGCGTACGGGGGGAAGAAGGAAGAAAACTTTGACAACTGGGAAGCCAGTGTCAATAGTTATATTTATTTGCAGCATATCTTGGTCGAGGAACAAGTCCTTGTGGCCTTCCAGGCCCTCAAAGATGAAGCGGCTAGTTTTGCCAGGTCTCTTGCGCGTACAGCCGGTTGTGAAAACAACCTAGTTGTGTATTCCAAAGTCACTCCTCTTTCTCAATTCCTCAAGCTCCTCGAGGAGCGGTTCGCTGACCCAACGCGAGGCATTAGAGCCTCAGATAAGCTTCAAACGATCCACTCGCGGCAGTGGAGGAGTGCTAAGGCACTCAAGAGTACTATGGACGACTTGGTAGCCGTCCCTGACCACGGGGTCACCGAGCCCCAGTTGGTCAAGTTGTTTTATCGTGCCATCCCAGAGGCCCTACGCGGGCATTTCTTTGACAAGTATCAGCAGGCCGACATCACATATGATCAATTGAGTAGGGAGGTCGTCCTGTATGARTCAAAGTCTATRCCAGTTACCACTTTCTGGCATAAGGACCTGGAGAAGGGGAAGAAGTGGAAGAATCGTACTATCTCAGGCCAAGTAAAGGCCAAGGATCACATGATCCTGACGTTAGAGGAAGGTGGTACTGATGAGGTCCCGTATGATCAGATAGAGTGGGGCCTCGAAGATGATGGCAGTAGTGTGGGGCAAGGGAGGTCTTACGCTGCTGTCGCGGCCGGAGGGAGGCCGCAAGGTAGAGGAGGAGGCCAGGGCCAAAGGGGCCAGGCCATGGGAGGCCGAGGACCGGGCGCACAGGGGGTTGGCGGACAGGGAAACCGCCAAGTGGGAGGTAGGGGTCAAGGTCCCCCGTTAAATCRCCAGGGTAACCGGTCCCCACAACGAGGAGGTGGAAGGGAGCCTCAAGGAGGATGGCACCCAGGCTTGCCGCAGGGCAGGCCCTGGGAAAATCTGGGCTTGGACCAGCGCTTATGGCAGGAACGCGTGAACATGGGTCAGTGCGGATTCTGTGGTGACCCGGCCCACGTTATCAAATTTTGTCCAAAGTATAGACAGGCCCGTTGGGCTGCCCAGCAGTCAAAAGGCAGCCGCCAGTAGGGGTCGCAACTGCCCCTACTTCAAGGCCATGTGGAGAAGTGAGCGCGCGCGAACAGGACACTCCCAACCCACATGAGCTTATGGCAGAGGTTGCAGGCCCGTGCCTTGATAGCTGTCCAGAGACTGATTGTATTAGCGTCTCTTTAGGCACGTCCCTCACAGGTGTGGCAGAAGAATTAAAGGAGAGGATGCCCGCCTGGGCCAAAATGAAGAAGGAGAGTAAAGGACAACTAATTTTGGTAGATGTGGAGGTGTTTAGGAGTAGGGTAGGGGCCCTTATAGATTCAGGAGCTACCCGTAGTTACATTAGCCGTAGGGCGCTGAAGAAGTTGAGACTAGGACTAAAGGTCCAAAAGCTAGTAGACCCCATAGTCAGTGTCCTCGCAGTCAACCGCACGATGCGCGTTGAGGACTAGGTAGAGGGAGTCCTGGCGTACTTTCGCCTAGAGAAGGATGGGAACGTGGAGAAAGTTCTCCATTCCCTGACTCTCCTCGTGCAAGATGACCTTCCTTTCGATGTAGTGTTAGGAATGGATTGGGGAGAGGCAGCAGGGGCCACACTCCAATTGAGAGAGCATGAGTGTAGGCTCCCTAGTTCGTCAGGCGAGGCTAAGACTGCCCGCTTGTTCCATGTGTCTGGTGTAGACAATACCTTGGCACATTGCTGTCTCAGTGCTCCCACGTTCTCGCGATTAGTCAAAAAGGAGCAGTTAGAGGAACAAGTCTTTGTAGTTTATGTTAGACCTGTCACTGAGGCCCAGGAAAAGGATAGTTCCACAGATCCAACAATTGCCAAGCTGCTGGAAGAATTCAAAGACTTGACTGAGTCGCCGAGAGGAGTAGTATCGCGAGCCATCCAGCACAGGATAGAGATAGAGCC